GTTTGAGAAACACTGGGAGGAGATAAGGGCAGTTATGATTGTGGCATGTTATTTTAAAGGAAAAAACGATATTGTTATTTATGACGATCTTATTTTAAAAAAAATGTATACGTACAGTACACTAAAACAGATGATAAATAAATAAATGATAATCACGTTTGTTACATTTCGGAGTTTGAGTTCGGGGTATATAACTCCTTTGAGACATGATTGAGTTTACTTTGTAAAAAATGTATTTTTCTTGATAATACTTGTGCAGAAAAAAGTTGTGATGGAGATCTTAAATTCAAGTCATATCCGTGTAACTTGAAAAAAATTTTATGGAAGACAATTTCGAAGTTGTAAGAGGTAAGTGTAGTCCTCCGCTTCAAGTGAAGTTTATTTTTAAGTGTAGTTTTCCGCTATTTCCCTTCATTTAAAAATAATGTCTCGCTTGAAGTTCCTCCCTCACTTTGGAAAGATGTTTATTCTTTTCTCTGTACATACCTACCTTATGCGTATAAATTTATTTATTAAATATAACTTATTAACGATTAAAGTGTTGTTCAAATCCAGAATTATCCGTTTTGTGGGAGGTTCCGATCATACAAATAAAAATACAGCTTATTTCGAAGAATGGATGAGTTCCAAACTACAATTAATTTTAATTTAGATTTGCACATACCCACTTCCATAATTATGCCGAGGGTGGATCCTTTTATTATAGGTACAACAATCGTAGTTATCATGACAACCAAGGAGATACAATTACATTTTCAGCTGCTACATACTACAGAACTAATAGATCAGTAAACTACATACATGATAATAGTATTGTTGGTAATAACAATGATAATAGCAATCTTGATGATAATATTGGCAGCAGTAGTGTAAATAACAACAATAGTAGTAGTAGTATCAGTACTGATAATAAACGTGGTGTTTTTGATAACGGGTATTATTAGTATTGTTATATAAAACCAAGTATATTTTTTTGTATATTTTTTATTATATACAGTATATATTCGTTTCCTTTATATATATATGTATTTATATATATATATTTATTTATAAAAATTAGAATTATACATATTTGTTTTTTTTCCTCTATATTAAAAAAGGTGGTGGTGGTGATTATTACTCGCTACTCTATCTAGTTATCGTAATAAAAATCAATTTCTTCGCATTTTTCACGGGACTTCTAACAAATTTAGAAAGATTTTCATGCGTTATTAGTAACAAAATCACATGATTATAAAGCTAATTGAGAAAATAAATAGACAATTGGAAAAGGATGTTGAAAGCAATTAATTTCAATTATTTAAAAGCGGTAAAAAAAATAATCTTTAATCAAGTTATTTTATATATATGTGTGTGTAAATAAAATAGATCATCTCTGAATTAAGTTTTTTGATAAAAATCCTAGAGTTCAACTTCTATATTAACTCGCACCTTTCATACCTCGCGACCTACCTTTAGGGTGATAATCAGACAACCTTTAAGAACTAAAGAAGCATTAGTAAGAATTCAAATATATATATATATATATATGTACACACATATATACTTTGGGTTATAAATCTAATAAAAGAACGTTTCATAAGTATTTAAAGACATTTAAACAAATTATTCGTGAATATACAAAACCTTCATTTAAAATTTCAAAAGATGTGACTAAACAACAATCTCCATCACCATTACCAACAAATCCTGTTTCTCGACCTCCTGCTGCCACCGATACAATTCCAAAATCAGCACTACAATCATCTGCTGATTGGCATATTATAAAAAATTTGACAAGGTATATATGGCCAAAGGATAATTTATCTATTAAAATCCGTGTTGTTATGGCATTATCTTTGTTAGTAGGCGGAAAGGTAATTTTAAAAAATATTTTACATAGATTTTATCTACACATATAATAAAATAATATTTATAACGTGATTTTTTTATTATACAGATTTTAAATGTTCAAGTTCCATTCTTGTTCAAAAATATTATTGATTCTCTAAATATGGATGCAAGTCAATTTGGAACAGTTTGGACAGTTGCTGGTGCAATGATTATTGGCTGTAAGAATATAAAAAATAATTATAATTGATTAATTTTATTATATAAATAAGGAAATATTTAAATTATATTTAATAAGATGGTTTGGCAAGGGGTTGTGGGACACTTTCTCAGGAACTTCGTAATGCAATATTTGCCAACGTGGCTCAAAAGGCAATTAGACAAGTAGCAAAGAATGTGTTTTATCATTTGCATCGATTGGATTTAAATTTCCATTTATCAAGACAAACAGGAGGATTAAGTAGAGCCATTGATCGCGGAACAAAGTATGTGTGGTGATACATAGAAAAAATACTTGGTTTTATTTTATAATTATGAAAAAATACGAATTGGATAAGTTTTGATAAACACTTAAAAGGAAATGTTTTCTTAATCAAATGAATTATTTTAATATATAGAGGAATAAGTTTTTTGCTTTCTTCAATTGTTTTTCACGTTTTGCCGACCGCGTTTGAGATTTCTGTAGTTTGTGGAATTTTGGTAAGAATAAAATATATTACAAATAATAATAATTGTTTATTTTATTTTTATTATAACAAACAATCAATTAATTAATTATGAAATAATAAATTGTAGTCATATAAATTTGGAACAGACTTTGCAGCAGTTGCAGCTACAGCAATGGCAACTTATACTTTTTTTACTATTAAAACAACCTCATGGCGGTAATTTTTTGAAAGTTAGACGATTAGTATTAACCGGAAATTAATTGATTTTTTTCCGTTAATTATTAATAGGACAAAATTCAGAAAAGAGGCAAATAAAGCTGATAACGAAGCAGCGACAGTAGCAGTTGATTCATTGCTCAATTATGAGGCCGTCAAATATTTTAATAATGAAAATTTTGAAACTGAACAATATGACAAAGCTTTACATAAATATGAGAAAGCATCTTTAAAAATTGCAACTTCCCTGGCATTCTTAAACTCTGGGCAAAATTTTATATTTAGTAGTGCTCTTACTGGGATGATGTTTTTGGCAGCAAATGGTATCATCGAAGGTAATTTGTATTCATCTTCATATTTATTTTATTACTATTATTAAAAAAGGAAATAACATTGATAAAAATCTTGTATATTAGGAACATTGACTATTGGTGAATTAGTAATGGTTAATCAACTTCTATTTCAATTATCGTTACCTTTAAATTTTCTTGGCTCAGTCTACAGAGAATTAAGACAAAGTTTGATTGATATGGATGTTATGTTTAATTTACAACAATTGAATGTGACAATCAAGGTGTTTAGAACTAAATAAATACAATATTGCTAATTTAAGCTGTATGAGTAAAAAAAATTTCTAATCTAGTTCTATGAAATTTAGGATTCGCCTCATTCAAAACCTTTAGTTTTTAAAGGTGGAGAAATTAGATTCGAAAATGTGGTATTTGGCTATCATTCTGACCGTCCAATTTTTAAGGGAGTGAATTTTGTAGTACCTTCAGGCAAAAAAATTGCAATTGTAGGACCAAGTGGATCCGGGTAATTTGTCTTTCTAAATATTTAATAAATAATTTTTTTTGTAAATAGCATACTAATAAAATATTTTTCATAATATATAGAAAATCAAGTATTTTGAGATTATTATTTCGTTTTTATGATCCACAAAATGGCAATATTTATATAGATGGACAAAATATCAAGGATATTAAATTGGAAAGTTTAAGATCAAATATTGGCGTGGTTCCTCAGGTGTGATAATAATCATAAATAAGCAATAATTTAATTTGTAAAGCTAAAATCTTGTATATTTTATTTATCTAGGAGACATCACTTTTCAATAATACTATTTATTATAATATTGCATATGGAAATATAAAAGCAACTAGTGATATGATAGAAAATGCTGCAAAACGTGCAAATATACATGATGTGATAATGACATTACCAGATAAATATGACACACGCGTTGGGGAGCGTGGTTTGATGCTTTCTGGTGGCGAGAAACAAAGAATATCATTGGCAAGAACAATATTAAAAAATCCACCAATTTTGTTTTTTGATGAAGCTACATCTGCGCTTGATACACATACTGAGCAATCGCTTTTAGAAAATATACGAAGCATTCTTCGAGGAAGTCAGAAAACAAGTGTATTTGTTGCACATAGATTAAGAACTATTGTTGACGCAGGTAAAAAATTTTACTTGAATATTTTATTTATATAAATTATACAAAAGCTATTTAGAAAATTTAATGAATTTATTTATTATTTATTAAATTGAAATATAAAAAGATGAAATTATTGTATTAAAAGATGGCGTAATAAAGGAACGTGGACCTCATGATAAACTTATTCAAAAAGAAGATGGAATTTATAGAGACATGTGGTTTACCCAAGAAAAGACATCAACTAATTAAAAGAAAAAGTAAATACGACTGTTAAAGTGTTAACAGTCATCGTCAAAAATGAATTACAAAAGCCAAATCAAAAATTACCAAAAAGAATCACCAGAATGGTTTAAATAATGTATGTATTATCATTTGTTATTTTATTTATTAATTTATATTCATGTATTTAAAACATATCTTTAGATTATTAATTAAAAGCATTTATTTTTTATTAATAAAATCTTTAATCATTAAAAAAATCATAAATATTAATATTATTGTAAAATTATATCTTTTAAATAAATAAAAAATAATTAATTTAATAAAATAAATAAATAAATACATATTATCCTAATTTAGATTTTGGAACACTTGGTAATAAATTTAAGGTACGTTGAGCTTCTTTTTCTTTTTGAATGTTTAAAATTTTTTTTTCACGTAAATAAAAAATATCACGGTGTAAAATATATTTTTTTGGTTTTGGTGGTGGTTGTGATTGTTGCTGCGTTGGTTTTGGTTTTGGCTTTGGTTTATCGTCCTTTCTTGTAACATAATTATTGCCACCTTTTTCTTGAAGAACTTTATTACCATTATGAAGTTCATTTTTTGTTCACAAATATCATATAACCCCATTAATAATTCGGTCAAGAATTCAATAATTCTAATTTGTCTCTTCAATTCAAATTTGGATCTTTTTTTTTATACAAAGTGAGACCAGTAGCTACTTATTATGTATTAAATTTCAACATTTACCAAGCACCAGATTTAGATTCCATTATTGGCAATAGAATTGTAAGTTTTAGTATAAATAAGGTTTTCACGCAATGAGATTACTACTATTTATTTTTTTAATTTGAACTCACATTATTATTTTTTTTTTCCTGGAAAAGTTAACAAGCATTTATCAATTAAGTTTAGCCTTTAATACAGCATACAAACATGTAGATTTTCATCCTGCAACAGGTTATTCTTGGAGGCCAACAGCATCATCAACAAAATCGACAAAATCATCAGCGGCAGAAGTGACAAAAACAACCGCTGCTACTGCTGCTGCCGGGGCAACAACATCATCGTCAATATCATCACCATCAACAATAAGTAGTGATGGTGATAATAACAATGAATTAAATCAAAATATTATTAATGACAACACAAAAAGTAATTTGAGTGATTTCTTTTGTTTTGCCATTTCACAAAACAAAAAAAAATTTATATAACACATTTTCAACATTTCTCTTTCTAGAATCACGAATCATTCATCAAGAACCATTAGAACAAATAGAATTTCGTATGGGAGTAGATAGAGTTTTAAAACATATTAATGTAAACACGGAGCGGCAATTACGTCATGTTGATGAATTACTGAATAGGCCACCATCACCACCACCTACATTACAAGATAATAACATAATATCGAAAAATGAACCAAACATTTTAATGACTAGTCCCACTTTAATATCTGTAAGTTTATTTGTTGGTAATTATGGTTAAAATATGTTTCTTTCTTTAATTGAAAAAATTATAATGTTTTTGAATTTTCTTTATTTATAGCCTTCACAAATTGGTGCAGAATCATCTGTTACTATGCAAGGTAAAATATATATTTTTTAAAATATTATCAATGTTATTATTAATAATTATTGAAAATTTTTTTTGTCAATTATTTAGATCAAAATATTAAAAGACGTAAAAAAAGTGAAGATTCTGGTAAAAAGAAAAAGAAAAGTACGTAAGAATTTTTATAGAAAATATTTATTTATTTAATTATTCATTCATTCACATAATTTCATCCTTCATTTTATAAAACAATCTTTATTATTTTGTAATTATATAATTTTATTATAAATTTATTAAAAAAATATATTTTTTTTTTTTTACTATACTCATGGTTTTATGACCTGCCAAGAACAAACTAGTTAGATATAGCCATTATAATATTCATCATCATCTATACCAAATCATCCTTTTCAACAATCATTTTTTGTTCAAAAATAAAGTAATTAGTTATCAATGTTATTATAAGCGAAAAATTTTTGTTGTTTTATAAATATAATTTTCATGATTTAATCTTGTACCAATATCGTTCAACTTTGAAAATAACAAGCCGTTTCTCCAATGACATAAGTCGATATAGTTTTTGATGATACTCATCCGAAAACAATTATAAATTATTCATTATATCATCTAATAATTATATCTTAACAATTGCTGTATCACCTGTAATAGTGTCATTACTAAGGTGTGTTATATTAAAACTATTTATAAATAATAGTATCAGGTATAGTTATATGCAAAATAAAGGTTCGATCACTTACAATAGGAACTTATTGATACAAATTTTTTAATTTTTTTAATGTGAATCTCAATGTGAATGGATAGATGTCATTTAGATGAACAATTTACAGCTAAATAAAGTGACTCTAAAGTTTTGTTATCCCATTTCCTACATTGCCATCATCATAACGGATAATTAGTGATAACCATCATTTTTCTTTATCTTCTTGTAGCAAAACAAATCCAATTCGATAATTCGGATCCTCCATCAAAAAAAATTTTTACAGTCTCACTCTTTTTCTGTAAAATGTTATAAACCTAGAATCTATATAACATTTTTGTGTATTTGAGGTGTTTCATAAATAACGTTTTGGATTATTATTTTTTTTTTATGTACTAAATAAATTATCAATGCATTATATTATTTAATAATCAATCAACTAATTCTATTTATTTTCTTGATCATTGCTTTATATACAATTTAAAATTTGCAAGTTTCTGTTTCAGGCTAAATTAGTGACATATTGATATCTCGTAATAGTAATTCTTCACCTTAAATATCATTACATCCAATTGAATCGTTGATTAAATAAAACTAGATAATTCGACCAATAATATTGCATAATGTTTCTGTAAAGTTGGATTGTCTAACGATGATGGTGTATACAAATAATCAAATTTTTTATAAATATAAATAAATGCTATTTTTATTTAAAACTTCACCTTTAATTCCAAAAATTGAGGCTCATGTCTTTATCAAACGTTACACTAACTCAATAGTTTCTTAGGAAATAAAAAGTCTTAAAATATTTTTAATACACACTAATATATATAAAGTATCTAAACCAAAACCAAAATAATCGATATTCTTTTTATTC